CAAGAAAAAGATTAGAGTTAGAAAAAAAAAAGAAATTCAAGAAAAAATATAGAAACTATTTATTTCCAAAGACCTAAGCCAAATCTGAAGAACAAAATTCAGTTCAGGTTCTGATGTCCTGGCATTTCATTAATATTGATCTACTTACCTACAAGAATCTATAATAAAGATTCTTAAGATTCTTAGGCTGCAAGAATTCAGATAGAAAGAAGAAAGGAAATATCAGAAATACTTGCCTGAAAGTTTTGAAGAAGCCTCAGTATAATACATATTCTATTAAACTTTAACAGGTTTTAAGATTTTATGCATAGTATGTATAAATTAAACAGAAGAGTTTGTAAAAGTCTAATTTGACCCTTTGAAAATACTATACTTTGATGTAGTCTGATATCCTATTTTTAGCTTATAGATTCTTGTTAAACCTGTTTATAGTATAAATATATATAATTAGTAGATTAGTATCAATTCTTACCTGTATTTAGTCAAATTAGTATGCTGAAATAGTAGATTTATCTAATTTATCAAATTAATCAGTATTTGGTAGATAGTAATCTAGTTTACTATTTGAGGAAAATTCGATTTAATTGATATTTTAGTGAAATTAATTAAATCCCAAATATATTTACTAACAAAATTAAAAGTATAAATATGATACCTTTTTGTTTTCAATAAAAATAACTTTAGCAGAGTTCAAATAAGATTTGAATAAGTTGTGTTTGAAAACCAATACTTCAAAATTTGAGTAGAAGTTTGGTCTGATAAGTTCTCATTATTAAAGTTACTGTTTTTGGCTATATAGAACTGTGATAATCAATTCCCATATAAATCAAACAATAACTAATTACTCTATAAATAGTTTTATTAAGAAACTTAGATCCCATTGTTAAAATGCCACTTAATTATAAAAGAGGGCCAGATCATATGCTATATAATAAGAAATCATCTTTATAAGAAAAGTTCTAAGAACTAAAGAACTAAAATGTAAAACAACTATAATCAAAAAATAAGAACAAGACAACACTCACTCCTAAAAAATCCTCTCTGTAATCCTAAAACTCAGACCAAATTCTCTAAACCTTCTTTTAGCTTTCTAATTAGGATTGATTATTAGATTTGTAGTGTTTGTTTGTTTGTTTGTTGAACTATGAATCTAGATGTAACCATAACAACTAGTTGAGTTCTGTTTTAGAACTAGTACACACCTTTTTAATATTCTAATTGGCTGATAATTACTGCATGAGATTTATTATATGTTCTATATCTATTATATATCATTTTTGAGATATATTTACTATTATCATATATATAGCATATAGAGTATTTATTATATATTTTATATATGTATTAGTAATATTATATATTTTATTAGTGATAGTTGTAGCATATATAGCTCATGTAAAATATGTAGCCCATTATATTTCTAATATTTTGTAAAGTATAAAAGTAGCATATGTGGACTTTAATTTTATTATCGAGTCTTTATACTCTTTCACAATAAAAGTAATTTTCTAATACTTTGAAATAAATATTTATTGATATCTTTATATATCTTTAATTATAGCCTCTTTCATAATTGCAAATTACCTTAAATCTTCTTTGTTAAGTTTTACAAAAATGCTCTAAAGACTTTAACAAAATATAGTAACAAAGGACATTATACAAAGTATTCACTATTATTAGTCTCTTTAGTTAGTTGTTCTTTCTAAAAAAATAGAAGCAATATAACAATAGATAATTAATCATCTATTAGTTCGATACTATGTTGCTATACCTGCAACTTGCCTATAAATTACCTACTTAAATACTCTGATCATTAACTCTTCTCTCTATCTCAAACTAATATTACCACTATATCTAACTATTTAAGCTAGCTGACTTGCTCATAGATCTATTTACTATATGACTTAAATCTTCTTAAGATATATATTATCTAATATATTGTAAGTATACAGAGCTCTAGTTAAGCTTAGAAGTAATTTCTACTAAAGTGGTCATATATCTATTTTACAGATTCATCTGAATTGAATTCTTGTTAATATTTATACAAACCTAGTTCTTACTATAGCTTTTTACCAGATATAGTTCTCTGAAATTCTAGTCAGATATTTTATAAGGTAGATCTTTCTAATTTAGTTAACTGCTAAGCCAAGTTAGTATTACTGCTAATGCAAGATACTAAGTTGTATTACATAGTGAACTTATTCATATCTACTCAATCTACATCTTTTGTACTCAGGTTTTTTACTAGATCAAGCATTAATTGGTATAACTATTAAAATCTTACTACTTTACTAAACTTAGAATTTCTACTATACAGATCCTCTGCTTATAAATTCTATTAAGACTTATTCATATAATATAACTCAAATATTACATCATATTTCTAATATCTAATTAATATTAGTACAATATGATTTATAGAGTTATAATCCTCAGAAACAGACAAAGTTTACTATAAGTTGAGTACAAAGATCTGAGTAATTATTCAAATTTATTAACAGTAAAATTTGAACTTCAGACCTCTTGTATAGTAGTCTAGCAATCTAACTACTATACTAAAATCACTAGATCTTACTCTGTAGTTATTATTAAATATAAGTGATTAATTTCTTTATATAATAATAGTTTACATAATTTTTTATAATTTTCTTAAATTTATATATCTATTTTTATATAATATTATATAAACTATTAAAAATAAATATAATATATTTTTTTTAATAATATTTTTTTTAAAAAAATTTAAAAAAATAAAAATTTATTAAAAATAAAAAAAAAAGATTCTTTTATAACAATAATAGTTTTATAAAAATTAATTAGACTTACTATTTTTTTACTAAAAACTTCTTGTATATTTAATATACAAGTTAAAAGTAATATTATATAAAATAGCTAGTAGAAAATATATCTTTTATATAAAAATTTTAGTAAAAAGTTAAAAAAAAGCTTTTTGTTGATAAAATTAATAAAAAAAGATTTAAGAAAGAAAATAACAAATTATTTTGTTTATATACTTTTTAGTATTTTAAAAAATATATATTTTTTATAAACTTTTTTTTACTATTCTTCTACTTTTATAAAAAAAATAGAAAATTTAAGTTTTCTTTTATAAACAATTAGTAATATTTACTTTTCTATTTTTAAAAATATTCTATAAATATACAATCTCAAATAATAAATAAAGTTATATACTTTGTTTATAATTAGTTCTAAATATAACTTTAGTACTATAGATTTTAGAATAAAATAGATAAAAAATATTAAAATACTAAATTAAGAAATAATAAGAATAGATTATATATAGAAAAAGAATTAATTAAAATAAATTATAAGTTATAAAACTTAATATTTTTAAGTTTAGCTTAAGTTATAAGATGTTTGGTTACTTGTTTTTTTTGTTAATAAGCTTTAGTACTTTTAAATTAATAATAATTTTTATTTTTTTTTTATATTTTAAGACTAGATATTAACTACTTTTAGCTTAGTATTAATTAAATTGAAAAAGACTTATAATTTTAATATCTAACTAGAAGTTACTTTGTTAACCAAATTCTAAGAATCTGTATATATAAATTAAAGTTTTTGTGAAAGAATAAACTTCTATAGTAGATTGAATTTAGATACTCTTAAAGTAGCTAAGTTAGTTTAAAATAATTAAACTAGTATACTTGTATATTAGATTAGTTTATAACTTATATTTAAATATTCTTTAATAAAATAACAAGTAAGATTATTTAAATTATAAAAAAAAACTAATAAAAATAAATACTATTACTACCTCTATTCTACAATTATATGCTTGTTTAACTTAAGCTAAATATTAAATAAAGATAATCTTACAAACTAAAAAATAACTAATAATCTAATATTATCACCAAAAGAACTACAATAAAAACTATTATTAATTTTTTTATATTTATAATTATCTTTCTATTACATTAATTTTTATTGTGCAAAACTTATCAATTATTATTATTTAAGAAAAAAAGATATTAATAAATAAATTTATACTATTATAACATAAAACTTGAATCTATATATACAATATTTTTTTTATCTCAATTTTTATAATTCATAAAAATATGAATTGTAATAATATAATGTTTACAAATATCCTTAGTGTAAGCAGTATTTTCTTCAATAAGAATAATCTAAAAATAAAAAAAGAAACTAGTTAATAAGTAAATTAATCTGGTCTGGTCACCATAGAATTCAGAACCAATTTGAATATTTTATATAACCTAATAAAACTGTTTTACCATAAAACCAGCTTCAATCTCTAAGTTATAGTAACCGTAATAAAAAATATTATACCTATTGATCAAATCAACTCAAATAAGGGATACGATTTGCAAACTAAATCGGTGTAAATATAAGAATGTATAACAACTTGATCGTATTTATCAATACATATTTGATATTGTATTACACCTTAAATTTGATATGTGATGATCAAAGTTATATCTTAATTTAGTATGAAAGTTTTTTCGTTCGAGATCCGTTAGTTTGAATATAAATTCATAAATACTTATCCAATTTCTGTTATACATGTGTACTATACTAGTACAATACAATATATCGTGCTCATTACTAACTCCCTTCACACAACTCAAGCGCCTAGTTTAAAAGTAAATATATAGACTGTAGGAAGTTTATAGACTTATACTATACGTAGTTGTTTTTTTTTTCTTTTTTAGGTAGTATTTGGCAAATAATAATAATAATACTCTTGTTTTGAACGTCTAAGCTTGTTTGTTAGACAAATTTAATTAGTTAATTAGAGACCGCACTACGCATGCAAATATTAATCCTTAATTTGGAAATTTTATAAAGAAATTTATTAATCGTAACAATACATTTTATATATATCGAGAATAAGGACGCGAATCAATAAAATTGTCTAAAACGTAGAGATACAGTATTACTATATTATAGGGAAAAATCCCAAGTTGAAGAAGTTCTGAATACTTTTTTTTTTCTGAATTTAAATTTAGGATACTATGGAAGACAGGAAAGATATTATAAGTAAAACTTACTTTAAACTTATTTACTATTCTGAATTATATTCCTCAAACTATGAAGATAGAATAAAAATTTATAATAAACTATTGTCTGAAAATACGGTGCTTACCCAAAAAGAAAAGGAAGTTTGTCAAGACAGGGCTTCAAGAAACACTGAAAGAGAGAAAGAACTATTCAAAAGAGGCGAGCCAATGAAATGTAGTTATTGCAAATTAAAAAGATATTCAACTCGCTATTGTGAAAATTGCATTATAAAATATCTAAAAAGCTTCTTTGGAAGTTGGACATCGGGATGCGATATTATTGATAAATTTATTCGCGAATGTCAATCAAACTCAGGACTTCCTTTACACATTATGGAATGGATTCCATTTGATCAATTTGACAATATAGAGCATTTTGCGAAAGGTGGTTTCGCGACCATATACACTGCGACATGGAAACGAGGATCAATATTGGATTTTAAAGATAACGCTTTTGTTTATCAAGGGTCTCAGAAAGTTGTGCTTAAATCTTTAAATAATTCAAGCGAGTCTACAGAAAAATTTTTTGAAGAGGTATTTTTATTATATAGATTTCTCAGAGTTTTATTTCATATAGATATACAGCTATACACTGATTTTTTAATCTTTCTTTTCTAGGCAAAAAAATTTATTCAAATTAGATCTGGTGATATAGTTAATGCGTATGGAATAACTAAAATTGATTCTGACAATTTTGCTATAGTTATGAATTACTTTGCTGATGGAAATTTACGAGATTATTTAAAGAAAAATCATGCGACACTAAGTTTACAAGATAGGGTATTTGCTATTTGGCGTATATGTGGTGTTTTATTAGATGTTCATCGACAAAATCTAATTCATTGCGACTTGCATAGCGGAAATATCCTTTTATATACAAATAGATGTTTACTTACTGACTTGGGTTTATGTGGTCCTGTAGAAGATAACAAATCAGATGAATTATTTGGAATTATTCCGTACATAGCTCCCGAATTGTTTGATTGTAAAAAATATTCGAAACCAACAGATATTTATAGTTTAGGAATTTTAATGTGGGAAATTTTTGCTGGACAACCGCCCTTCATGAATAGACCTTATGAGCAACAATTAGCGTCTGAAATAGTTGTTAATAACTTAAGACCACCAGAATTGCCTGAGATCCCAAGCAAAATACAAAATCTTATTTATAGATGCTGGAATGCTGATCCTTCAATGAGACCTACCATTGAAGAAGTTTATGAAGTCGTTAAAAATATATATTGTGAAATCCTTGAAAACAGTGAATTGGCTACTGAATATGAGAAAAAGCGAAACAAAGTTGCTTTTGACTCAAGTATTATTTTTTTGTGTAATCTTTGTGAATTTAAACTTCATGTAGAACGTAATTTAATTACTTTTAATTACTCTTTGTTTAAGCCCCTTCTAATACAGACTCGCAACGAATAAGTAGCAGAATTATTGACTTTGAAATAAAAGATCTGGGTAATTATTTTATTCTAATTAACGATTGCATTACTTCTATTGCTTACATCTGTTAATATTTTATTGTTTTATATGCACAAAAGCCTCTAATATTAACTGTTTTGAATCAGAAAATTCAGGTGATCATGTTTACATATTGTCATATTGTTTTTTTAACTCATAATTAACCATAAAACCTCATATATTAGACTTTAATGAGAAAAGTATTATCGATTTTTGGTCAAAAAATTCAGGTTAGCATTAGATTTTACAGTTATTAATCATTCTACATATTTCTTAATTCTGTAATTATTAATTATTATTTATCACAAAACTATAAACCGCACATATCAGCTTCTAATAATAGTTGTATTATTGATTTTGAATCATAAAAGTCTTAATTGCGTTATGTTAATTATCGTTATTAATGTTTCGTAATTTGATAACATACGTCATTTTGCTACGTCTCGGTATAAAATTTATTATCGAACTTAATATATTTATAAAGTTAACGAATTTAATATATTTTTATTCAATAAAAATTTTTTGAAGTACCATTTTAACGAACTTAATAATTTTATTTTATTTTATTTTTTTATAAAATTTGTAACACTTAAAATAATAAAGATAAAAATAGTTTTTTGAGTAAGTTATAAAAAGGTATAAGAAAAATATTTAAAGAGTTGAAATTTAGTTTTTTTTTTTTTTTTTTGTAAAGTGTAAAGAAAATGTTAATACAAAATACAAAAATTTATACTAATTGAACTAAAGTTATTTTTCAATTGTAAAAATTGCATTGGTATTCAGAAAAATGTTATTAGATTGGAACACTATATTAGCTAATAGTATTAATATTAAATTTTTAAAGTTCTAGATAAGAATATTTTTTTAATTGGGTATTTTTATTATTGTAAAATTGATCATAAAATATTTAAATTCTTTACTTTATCAGTAATTTATTTATATAAATAAAAATTATTTTGGTATTTTAATAATGTATTTAGTATTACCAGTTAAAAACAAACATTCATAATTTAATACAAGAAATTTTTTTACTAAATTTTGTTTTTCATAGTAATAATATCATGACCTCTCACATGATAAAAAACGTCATTAGCTCATAATCATTACTATTATCACTCGCTGTTAGGGTTTAGATGTGTCCCCGGGCCAAAACACGGCTCATCTTTTTCTATTTTTATCTTATTTAATTATATATTATCTATTTTTATCTTCTTTAGTGTGAGATGGGGCTTGTAGAGAAAGCAAAGTGGCTTGCCGCCGGATTAGGAAATAAGCTTAAGGATTCGAAACGTATACGTTGTGGGCTATGAAATATGTCAATCATAGCGTATACACTATCGGCTATGTGGCTTGGTTAAGGGAACTCGGAGCGTATACGCGATATCATATAGAACAATAGTAAAGCGTATACGCGATGTTAATAAAACGTATACGTTGTAGGACATTAGGAATAGGTAATAACAAGATTAGTCCTTATAGCACAGAGATGTATAAATATGGGTCCTCTTGGTCTTCCCAAACATTAGTTATGAATTATTATTAATAAAGTCTAAATCATTATTACTTCGGATCTAAAACATCTTTCACTTACCCAATATTAAAATTACCTTAAATTCGCTAAATAAGTAATCGATCCCTCACGACGTTTATTGAAGTATTGAATAGTAAAGTATACGCTGGGTCTCTTGATTAACATAAAGGAAGTAAGCATTGAGGCCGAATAGACCTTTCACTGAGTAATTAAGAGCCGTATCCTTAACAAGTTTATAGTATAGATATCACGAGTGAGGATTGTTTATAGGATCAATCAATATTAGAACATTGTTATTGGTATAGTGATCAACGTTTGGATCACATTATTAGATTTATTATACGTTTAAGAGTAACGCCACCCTTATCGATATCATATTAATTTCGACCCCTCTCTTAAATCATAAACCCTTTTCAATTAAACCGTTATCGACCTAAGTATAAATAGATTATTGAATCCCATCGTTTATATTTACCCATTTCATTAGAGATTAGTTTATCATATCCATATCACGTTAACTATTGGAGCTAAACCGTGCACTGTTACTTGCTCTCCCAATTTACAATAGTAACATCGCACACTAATTTCTGCAACCATTTTGGAAAAATGGTCGATTATCAAAAAAAAAAAAAAAAAAAAAAACATTTCCTTTATAAAAATAATTAGATTATTATTTTTTTTGCGATCCATTCAATACTAGTAAAAATTTGAAGACCATCAAAGGAAGACTTCAACTATACAATAAAATGCAACGCTTCCAAAATACCAAAAAATCCTATGACGTGAGCTAACCGAACCAAATTTAATTTAATGATGCTTAAACTGAATTTAACCTTGATACATCTGAAGATAAAGTACAAGAACGAAGCCGATAAAAGTACCGGGGAAGTTAATTATAAAAATATCGTGAATTTGAGAATTATCATAAAGAAGGTAAAACAAATTCACTTAACCGATCTCGGCATTCCCTTTGTCCATTTCACGAGCAACTTAGCTAGAGCTTCATATTCGTATTCGTTATTCGAATAATATTCGTATTCGGCGAATATTTGAATAAATAATTATTTGACGAATAATTCGAATAAAACAAATCTTATTCGAATAAGCAAATCTTTATTCGAATAAATAGTACTTATTGGATGTTTCAGATCCAATACGTAACTCTATATTATTAAAGTGTTACATGACGAATGTGATGCCTTTAAATTTTTCGATGTGTTATCCTGTACACATTATTATGGGATATGGTCCCAATGGTTGAATAAAAAAATCATGTAACATAAAAGCTTAAGAGAACTATAAGAAAATTTTGTTTACTGCATTGAAATTCTGACTAAATTATGCCTCGGTTATGCTTAATAATGCCTCTCGAAACTATTTTGGTGTGTCGAAACTGTTTCGATAAATCCCATAGTATCGAAATATCGATATCGAAACT